AGTATGCTGTAAGGCTAAGTTTGCCAGGGTTCAAGTGTATGTAGATAGGCACGATTGTCCCCTGGAGTTTTGGTTGTCACTCGCGGGCCGGAGGCTAAGAAAGGCAAGTCTGGGGACGGCGGATCCTGACCCCGGTGACGATCTTGGGATGGTCATGATGAAGAGCCCGAGCTTGAGGCTTTGATAGTCTGGGGGAGGCAATTTGTCGTGGCTAGCTAGCTAGCTGGGCTGCCAAGGTGAGAAGGGTAGAGGTTAACCTAGACGGAGCTCTTAGCTTGGAATAAGCCTCCATCCTTTAGCTACCTTACTATAGAGAGTTGAATAGTCGTTGGTGGTAAAACGGCGGTGCCTTGCAGCAGTGAAAACCAAAAACCAAAACCCATGTCAAGTGAAGCCGCTACTGCAGCTAGCTCATCTCACTGCCGGTTGCTCCGTTCCGTCGTTGCGTCTCATCACAAGTGACAGATACTTTAGCAGCGAGTCTCGGTGCGTACCGCAATCTTATCCACCGGCAAGCTATTGTCAGGGTTTGTGTTTGTGCCAGTCGGATCCAATCCAATCCAGGTACCTTACTCAGTTGAGGTACGCCAGCGTCAGGTACCACGCCCAAGGATATGGGCTCTCGGTATCGTCCCGTTTTCCCGTCTCGTCGTTTCGATAAGCCGTCTTAGTTCCATGAGTTACTAACAACATGTACCAGACAGGCAGGCAACGCGCATCTGGAGACGGTCAGGTTGATGCAAAGTCATGTACCTGGGGTTCTGTGGATCTCGACGTTGTACTCCGTGAGTTAGTTTAGTTGTCATGTCACCCTTAATCCCTCGCTGGCTCCGGCTTGAAGGACCGCTGAAACGGGTGTTTGCGGCAATAGTTTAGATGTCGTGTAACCCAGCTAGATCACTTGGAGGTTTTGGAAACTCGGAGTGATGTTGGTATCCTAACCGCCTCATACCTGCGAGATGATCTCTCTGTTGAGCTTGATGATGGTCTGTGTCGATATAGACAGTCAGGTCAGTATCATTAAAACCATGAACCATTCGATAACCACTCCCATGATGAAAAGCATCAATCCGCCATGGCAAAGCCTCCCGCCTCTTGGGGCTGTCTTGAACAGATCATTAAGCCAGGATTGGCTGTGATCATCTCGCCCTATTCTCTAGTTTCTGTCTGATCCCTGATCCGCAAAGTGCAGTCCAGGCCAAACCTTATCCGGATAGCCAACGTTGGACCTGGTCTCGACAGCAGGTGTATGCTTGTCTAATTCCTCTAAAATCAGATGATTTTTGAGGTTTCGTGTCTTTGTTCATCCACCAAGCTTGTCTTGAATTGGCTTCTCGACTTGCTCGTCTTAGTGCCCCCCACGATACACGTCACTGACGGTATGGATCTCAGTATGGGGGCATGGGTCCTAGGGTTGGGAAGAATTTGTGTCCATCGGTGGTGGTGATATGGCTAGGATGAGAGGAGAGTGTGTTTTCTCAGTTGAGGATTGTTTCACTGGGCAATGGCGAATTGTACTCCGTAGACAAGGTGTAGACATGTAGTTATACATATCGGATTACTTCCGACTAAATCCCCAAAGAAGGATTTATTTGTCTGCCACTTCAATTGGCTGATTCTTCCTTACAGAGTCAGTCTTTTCCACCACAGAGACGGGATGGATGGATGGGTGGCTGTCCTTGGCCTTGTCCGCTCCGGCTAAAAGAGAAGTGCTAGGATAAGTTTGAGTTTCAAGCTTTGGATCGTCCATATCAGTGCCATTCTAGCCATTCTAGCCATTTTCTTTGACTTGCTGTCAAACATCCTTGCCCCTGTTCCTGTCTCGGTAGGTACATACATCCATACCTACAGTAGTGCCTCTACCTTAGTAGTCCGTACGTAACTACATGTTGCATTCGCCGCCTGTTACAGTAAAAAAGAGACACTCTTGTTGACCCCTGTTTGACGCACGCCACGCCTGTACAGTACCTTGAACCTCCGAATGCCTACCGATGTATAGTACTTACTCTTTGGCTGCGTTTGAGCCTCGGGCCTTAAAGATGCTAGCTTGCTATGAATCTCGAGGTTCAAGCGCCCTTTCGCTTCATGTTGGAGCTAATAAGCTAAGATACCCTAGCACTAACTAGCACCTGGGTGGTAGTGACCCTCTCGCCTCACCTTCAGTGCCTTTTAGTTGGTTCCATGGGTCCATACCTAGTAGGTAGGTCACTTTTGTTTAAGTCGAGCTGTGGATCGTCACTTTTCACTTTTTACCTTTCACCTCTCACCTCTCACCTACAGTCTCTTCTTAACTAACTACATCCCATCCCGTGCCATTCTGCGAAAGGTCTTTTACTTCAAACCTCCTCCTCCTCCAACTCCTCCTCCTTTCTCTTTACTCGCTCTCTTTCCTCTCCTCTCCTCATAATTCTCCTTCCACTCCCGATCGACATTCCTCCCATTTACGCCTCACATCGGACGACACTTTCAGTCGAGACCCATTCGGCCGAAGCTAATAAGATCTTCACCCCTCGTTCCTATCTGTGGCTCTGGTGTCCGTTTTTTTCAATTTCTCCCCAGCTTCCCCTCCATCAAGCCAAACCGCCACCTGCGCCAGGTAGACTAGAGCATTGTCAACATCTTTGTGAATTGGCCTAGTCTCGAGGCTCGCCCAAAATTTGCGACTTAGATCCACATACGATTTAGTTAGTGTACTTGAACTCGCTCCCAAGTTCGGGTCACCGTCTTTTCCGATACTTTTGTTCAATATTAAATTGATCTTCGAACAAGCTTTACCGTATCATGTCGACGCATCCTACCCTCAAGGCGACTTTCGCCAGTCGAGCTGAGACAGCTACCCATCCTCTCAGTCGACATCTCTACAAGCTCATGGACCTCAAGGCTTCGAATCTTTGCCTCAGCGCCGATGTCGCAACCGCTCGCGAACTGCTCTACTTCGCCGACAAGATTGGTCCTTCCATCGTCGTTCTCAAGACGCATTATGACATGGTTGCCGGCTGGGACTTTGACCCTAGGACAGGTACTGGTGCCAGGCTCGCCTCACTAGCACGCAAGCATGGCTTCCTCATCTTTGAGGATCGCAAGTTTGGTGACATTGGTAATACGGTCGAGCTGCAGTATACTAGCGGTGCTGCGCGCATCATCGAGTGGGCACATATTACCAACGTAAATATGGTTCCAGGCAAGGCCTCGGTTGCATCTCTGGCCCACGCTGCCAACCGATGGCTCGAGCGATACCATTACGAGGTCAAGACATCTATCAGTATTGGAACTCCCACCGCCAGTCAACTGGACGAGGATAGCGAGCGTTCAGACAACGAGAACCAAAACGACACGCCGGAACCTGCTCGCGCTGAGAGCGGCCGAAAAGGTAGCATTGTTTCGACCACCACCGTCACCCAACAGTACGAGTCGGCAGATTCACCACGCCTCGTCAAGACAATTCCTGAGGGTGATGAGACAGTATTCCCCGGCATCGATGAAGCACCGATTGAGAGGGGCCTGCTTATCCTCGCACAAATGTCGAGTCAGGGCAACTTCATGAACAAGGAATATACGCAAGCATGTGTAGAGGCCGCACGGGAACACAAGAACTTCGTTATGGGCTTTGTCTCACAGGAGTGCCTCAACACAGAACCCGAGGATGACTTCATCCACATGACCCCTGGCTGCCAATTGCCCCCTGAGGGCGCGGATGAGAATGAAGCCATCAAGGGAGATGGCAAGGGTCAACAGTACAACACGCCACAGAAGATTATTGGTATTGCTGGTGCGGACATTGCTATTGTTGGACGCGGTATCATCAAGGCAAGCGATCCCGAGGAGGAAGCTGAGCGATATCGGTCCGCGGCATGGAAGGCTTACACGGAGCGAGTTCGTTAAGAAGCGAAAACGACTGGAAGCCGGGACGGCCTTGAGGTTTTCCGCGCGGTAGACAGGCTGCACTGGAGTTATCGAGACATCTAGCGGGTCTGACGTGAATATCATGACTACATGGAGTATCCATGGAGTAACTCACTTACAAGAGAAATGAGACTTGGTTCCCTGATTGGGAATATCATCTAAGCACTACTCTGTAGGCCTCGTCCAACTGCATAAGCCCTGTTCCTCTCTAACTGCATCAATGATACCAGGTTCAACATAACCTTACGAGAATGATTGTCGGAAAGGATAGGAAATATGAATCATAATGACGGAATAATTTGGTCCCTTGCGTGTGCTTTCAATGCACCTCTCATGTCCACGGCTATAGCAATTCACCCCAACTGCACATATCCATTTCTTCCCTCATCAATAACGACGTGGGTCCATTCAAAGATGCACGGGCAGGGCTGAATTCCATTCTTGTAATGGATGCCCCACTATCAAAGCGACGCCATTTTCATTCCGGAGTTAGAGGACTTTGAAAGCTGATCCTCATCCGCCGAGATCAACATATACCTTCTCATACTCCACCTTAAATTTGACCTCTAGTCTCCTAGTATCTGGATCTCATACTAGGTACTTTACCATAACGTTACATATCTGCTCCTAGTATTCCCAAGTGATCAGTCATTCATATCCATTTCCGAAGAAGCCGACATGTCAGCAGCAACTGAGGATGCTGATGGTCCGCGTCTGAGGAAGAGAAGACGAATTGTCATATCGTGCACTGAATGCCATCGAAGAAAGCAAAGGGTCCGTAACTATCAGACCACGATATATTTATTTATCCCATAAAAGAGATACTTGACTAAAAACATCTCTAGTGCGACCGCGAACAACCATGCGGCAATTGCAGGTCTCGAAATAAAGAGTCAGCTTGTGTTTATGAAACAGGAGCTCCAACAGCCAAACAGAGCAAGCAGGCAACAAAAGCATCGCTGACCTATTCGAATACATTCGCTAAACAAGCCGAGCCATCACCACCACAGTCTGTCGACTCAGCGAATGAAAGGCTAGACGAGCCCCTATCATCTAAGGTAGCTGACTGGGGATACGCTCATAATGGCGCGTCTACCATGGGTATACTCAAACGCATTGAGACACTCACAGACGTTAAAGATCGGCCCCCGGATCTAACATCTCATGATTCCTCTGGAGGCTCTCCCGGCAAAGAGCTTGCCTTGAGGGAAAAGTACAAGGCTCTAATTCGACAATTACCTGCCCGGAATTACATCGAAAAACTCGTCGAGATGTACATGCGCGGCTTCAACTGGCAGTACTATCCAATCGACCCTGACATCTTTTATGCGCAGCTCGACGAGTGGAATTCGTTGCCGTTCTCAGTATTCTCAGATGTCGGCCCTCGCGGCTTGAACCCTGAACTGCGAGCCTTTCCAGCAGTCGTATTTCAAATCATAGCAACGGCCCTTCTCCTATTACCCGAGAAGCCAGATTCCACATTTGACTCGCTCAAATTTGCTGGGGGTATGCGATTCGAAGATTTAGCTGTCGAGTATAGCGAGTCAGGGCAAGCAGTACTTGACCTTTTGGGGAAGAAGAACTTGTCTCTGTTGACAGTGCAAGCACAGTTTCTCAGGGCGTCATTCCACAAGTTTACGGCAAAGGTTACAGACGCAGTGAGTTCCTGTTGGAAGATGATACCCAGAGAAGCGTCTACTGATGTTAGGTAGTGGCACACCATCGCAATTGCGATTCGCGATGCTCAGGACCTGGGGATGCATCGTGACAGCTTGGATCCCAGACCAAAGGACGCAAGCGTCGAGAGTATTTTAGAGAATCAATGGCTGATTCAACGGAGGAGAAGGACCTACATCCTACTCTCCATCTGGGACCTCAACTGCGCGATGATTCTTGGACGTCCAGGAACCGTCGACTGGAATCAGACTCTCCCTACACCTCCAGTCGACGCGCCTATACCTCAAGATCGCACCAAGATGCCAGTGGTTCCTCGAAGTGAAGATGATCATCCTACACCGATTACTCGGCTCTTGTGGAACTACGAACTTTGTGGGCCTTTGCGGGCAGTTCAAAACCTTGAAGTCAGTGGTTCATACCCCATGGACCCTGCCAAGATTGACGAGATTCACCAATGTATTTTAAATCTCGATAAGAAGATACCAGCTTCCTTTCGAATGGAGAACCCCGATACACGCTGGGACCACTTACCAGAGGCACACTGGTACCCAGCAAATCGATTCTACTTTGCGAGTCTTCATGAGTTCAGTAAGATGGCTCTTCACAGGCCCTTCATCTTCAATCGCCCCGAGAGTCGAGTAGAGGCTATTCATGCGAGCCTGAAAACACTCGAGATTCAGAAAATGACATTCGAAGGTTTACCCCCAGACTCGTGGAGGAACTTCATGTTGTTTTTCGCTAGTTTCGATGCGATTGTACTCCTGGCATCCGTGTATATCTTGTTCCCGCGTGAGCATACGGAGTACACCGACAAGACAATAGAGCACTTTCAATGGACGATCGAACGGTTTTCGGCCATTCAAGAGCGCAACCCACTGGCCAAGTCGGCTCAGGGCGTGCTAAGAGCTATTGTTGCTCGATTCAAGAGAGCAATGAACAAAGCCCATGCTGGTTCATTGCCATCTCTAGCTCCCAGTTCTTCAGAGGGGTCGATCAAAGCAAACACAGATTCGACACCAGGTAGCTCATCTTTAGGCAGCAGTGAGTTTCCGGAGCTGGACTCGACATGGATAATTCCCTCGGTGGACAACAACCTGAATGCGATGGCCCCTTTCTTTCCGACGGGAGATCTTGTTTACAATGACCTGACGGCGGGCCCCGGCATGACTGTGCTTCCTCTACCCATGGAAGGTGGCCAAGGAGATATTGGCAATTATTCCATGTGGCAATTTGGAGGTGGGTGGGGAGATGATACTGTTTGGCAAACGCTGAACCAGTTCCCTGCTGCGACGGATGGGAGCATTCCCGACATCATCTAGGATCTTGGGAAATGCCAGGTTGTCGAATCTTGTGGTAGGCTCACTGTGCAAACAGTGAGCGTTATGCTCTCCTTGATTTCACAATAGCCGGCGGTGTTTCTCTCTTATCGGTTAGGGTTGGCGCACAACCTGATTTCAGCTTTCACATTTTCCAGCACTTGAGGAAGAACTATTCGAAACAGGATGAATCAGACTAAAATACTTGACAACTCAGAAATTGCCAGGGCCTGATCTACTGCCCCAGTAAGCTGCCCTCGGGGAGCAAGATAACATATGACTTAGGAGAAGGTGCTAAGATAAAATTAGCAAAGAGCCCCCTAAGCTTAGGCTAGATTTACCTAAATATTTTTATTGCTTAGGGTCAAGGGCCTGTGTTTTCTTTCCTCCCCTAGCCAAGGTAGACTATGATCTCCATTTATACGTATGGTCGCTTGAAGTCTAAAGCTACAGCCATTGTGATACAGAATTAAACGGGCAAATGCTTGAATGAGACAGTATGCCTCATGGCTCGCCAGGTCTGGCAGTCCATAGTGGCAAGGCGTTCTAGTCAATGCAGTTGCACGCGTATGGCAATAGGGGCGGCTCTTGATTGGACAGGTAATATCTTTGACACGCGGAGCATGTCGCTTGCACGGGCGTCTGCATGATCAGGCTGAGGGCTTGAGCCCCGTGGATAGGGTGTCAGATAGACGGGAACTGCTGTTGGGGGCCTCAAGAGCCGATGTTGGTCTGTTGTGTCACCTACTGTAACCCGAAAACCAACGCTGTCATTATTTGTCTGTTATGGTGGTGGCGAATAGTGAAGTCTTGTGCGTGCTTGATTTACCTACATGCGGCTGGATGTATTTATCAGTCGCCGTATGTGAATGACACCCACGGGGTTAAAGTGGAGGCGTTATGCGCAGGTCCTTGGGTAATGGAAGATTATACATATTCTGTGTGAACATGAGATCTGGATAGCCTATAAATATTTGTGGTTCAGGGAAAGATTAGATAACCATAGAATATACATGTTGAGCAAAGTGTATATACGTCTTTGAGATCCCGTGTTTTGTCTCAGCGCTAACCGTAGATGAATCAATGAGATGACAAGGCGTTTTCCAGATCAAACGGCAACTAGAGTGGAGTTTGACTATGTAAGGCGAATCGACATAAAAAGCCGCACACTTGCATATAGTTAATTAGCATGCCAAAATATAAACAGATTTCAGGAGAGAGAAGCGAGAAACCAGGATTTTGAATTAGTATTGGTCTCCTGAGCCCAACATTTGGTTGGCACCCAATCATATATTGACGCCTGGAGAGATGGAAGAGAGATGGAAGTACCTTTGTAGTCCTTTGGTTTGTGTCGTCCTTCTATCAATAGGTGCTGAGGCGTGACGTTTAAGCCAATGAGATTGGCCCGGGGTTCGATCTTTCACCTTTGGCGCGCGTCTCCACTGTGGGTTTGCACCTGCAGCTTGCATGGGCAAGGCCGTGGGCTGATGATCCCTGTCTCAGGTGTACTTAACTGTGATCGCGGACGGGAAGGAGCCAAGTGTGCTATAATAAAGCGTCAAATTTAGTACCTCTGAGATATTGCAGATTATTGAATCCAGTTCCTCGAGGCATCTCCTTACGTTAGTAGGTACCTAGGTAGTTATTTGTAGTTTTCAGATTCGTGCATTTTAGAAATCCACAAATTTACTTTTATCATAAGACTTAATTCCGTTTCCATGATACGTCCTTTTTCAAGATATTTAAGTCCCGGTTATAAATAAGGCTGTGCTTAACTTTTATGTCACCACATTTTAGCCAACCCAACTTCGGCTTTTATTGAGGCAAGGTCGTAAGGAACGCGACGTTAAAAAAAAAGTTTTTGCGAAAAGTCGTGCACCAAATCTAACTCGATCGCATTCAGTTGATATGAGATCAACATCGACATCATCTTCTTTTCTTTAACAATCTCCCATCTCCGATTGGACCTGATCAAAGTACCTAAGGCAGCTTCCAGTTACCAATAACGGTGCCGAATGAAGAGCTCAGCTCGGTTTGATTGCTTGCTTGCTTTTCTCGGCAACTGAACTCACTGACTCTTCTTTCCTTGTCTCATCTCCCCCAAACGTGCACACTAGGTACCTGCCTACCTTCCCTACCTACCGCAACCTCCCGTTGCCTTTCCCTGCCTTAACTTACCTTACCTTACCTTACCTTACCTTACCTTACCTTACCTTACCTTACCTTACTTTTATACTCGCACTGCGCTGCACTGCACTGCACTTTCCTTTCTCCCACCCCCATACAAATCTAATCCCCTTGCGCCGACGGAGAAAGGGTACCTACCTGAGGTATCTACTACCTTGCCTTGCCTTACTTATTAGGGTGTGCATGTTGTTGGCTGGGTGCGTGCAATTACAGGGCCAACAGCTGATCTTTTTTCTTTCTTCTCCCATTTATTATCCAACTCCTTCATTATCGACAAGTCTGACACGCGCCTTTCACCAACTCCTGTCTTCGCGCTACAAGAGACCTCCAAAATGGCATCTAATACTCAAATGAATGACTTGGTCAGTCGGTTTAATGCTCTCCAGGCTCGAGAAATGCCCGAGCAGAGATATTACAAGGTCTGAATTCCGCCCCCGGTACTTTCTACAGTATCCTCTCTGTAGCCTCGTATTGTACGATCATTTCTGACTCTCATAACAGGACCTTGTAGAAAGATTGCATGCGCTGCAAGAAACAAACCATGTCCTCCAGGAAAAGCTTGCCGACGCTAACTTGGGTTTGAATCATATGAGCCAGCTCCGCAAACTCTATGAAGGCACTCGATTGCAATGCGAAACGCTCACTGCGGATCTCAGAAACATTAGGGTACATACATGTCGCTGTGCGCACAGAACGCAGAAGCTAATACGTTCAGAGTGCTAATAACTATGTCTTTATAATCATGGACGGCAATGGTCTTATTGTACGTTCGATCTCGTCTTGTCGTCTAATCTCATCCAGCTCCCCTTCTCGAAAGGTTGTCCGTCGTGAAAGAAATCCTCGCTAATGGCGATGCAGTTCGACAATCGCTTTATCAAGCAGGGCCGCGAAGGTGGTAAGCAGGCGGCGCAAGCTCTGCTTCTTGCGGTAGCGAAGCTTTGTCCTAGCCTGCCATCTTCGTTCGAAATTTTCTGCGACGTTCTGGTCAACATTGCTGAGATGGGCCGGGCCCTGGTGAATGATGGCAGCATTGATGACCCAAGTCTTTTTCATGAATTTGCCATCGGGTTTACAGAGGTCAAGTCTTCTTTCAACTTTATTGATATTGGCTTGAGTAAAGGAACCCTGGTTCGCAAGATTCAAGGTGCGTCGAACGGCCGGTGAAATGGCCAGAGACACATTTGACTGACGTGCATAGAAACGGCAATGTGGCATTTGGGATGCTATAACTGTAGACACGTCATGCTAGGCATCGGCCATGGTGCCCAATATGCTCCTTTTCTGCGCAGACTCAACGAGGCTGGTGATGCCAGAATGTGCGTCTCCGTGATTCTAGGAGAACCGATAGTGCGCGAAATCGAGGCCTGCGGCAACACTGTTTACGCGCTTGACGGCGATGTCTTTCGCACGACCAAACTTGTGGATAAGACTTTGATAGAGAAACCGAGTGTCCAGCGTACCGAGGCGACTAAACCCCAGGGTTCACCAGTACCTCGCGCTGCAACAACACAAGCAGTATTGACGCCTGCCACGAGCACTTCATCCATGTCGCCTCCCCAAACTTCCTGGGCCAAGATCACGAAAAACGCCACTCCTCCCCCCAAACTGACGATGCCCCTACCTCCCAAACAGGACAAGACCAAGCTCGCGACTAAGGCACCTCCTCAGCCAGCTTGGAGCCCTGGACCTCGGGGCCGCGATCCTCCCATCACAGTTGGTCTTCCAGCCATGGAAGATATCAAGCGGCGTGAGGACTCCGACAAACTTTGCAACAATCACTTTCTCCGTGGGCCCTGTACCAGAATAGGTGCTTGTACTTTCAACCACACGTTCAAGCCGTCAAAAGAGCAGTTAAAGGCACTCGCAATGCTTGCTAGACAGAACCCCTGTATTAACGGGCAAGATTGCGATGTCGACGACTGCATATATGGACACAACGTGAGTTCTTTCAAATTCCAAAGCCTTTGTTACTACTCGCTAACTTCACAACTGCAGTGCCCTAATGTGACTAATGGTGTATGCACTCGGTCGCATTGCAGATTTAAGGTCGACGGTCATCCCCCAAATACCAAGTTTACCAACAGTAAGATACACGAAAACTAGCTGCATCATGTGTAGCGTTTGCGACAGGTTGCACAGCACTCGGCTGGCACAGTTTCGGACTTGATCTGGTGTACACTATAGTCACTTCGATTCTCGATCACACAAATTTTAATGTTCATTATACGAAGGGCTAGGAGGTTCTACTATGCCTATGACAGGCTTTGCTACGCAATGGGATAACTGAGCTTCGATAAATTGATTGACTTTATCATTCGTACTTTTCAAGTTGCTGATGTGTATTTCTTCATCCTTGGTGAATGTGCCCGGGCCCTCATCCTGGTGCATCGCTCATAAACTGAACGGGGGGTCTAATGTATACCGTTCTGAATGCTTCTTATCTCTGGTTCATACACTAGTCTTGATGTTCATGGCTCTCTAATTGCAGGTCTCCAGCCTTTCTACTTCTCATGCTAACAATTGCCCAGCGTTATTCTTAGCCTGAGCTGCCTAGAGCTACCTCAATGTCACCTCAGTTGTCAATTATGATCAAGTCTAGAATTTTCTCTCTTTTCCTAGACTGCCAGATAGTTTTTACTCTATGGTATCCTTATACGTAGTTAATAACCAAGCTTACCCTTTTTGCCCCTGTCTTTCTGACCCTTCATTTTCGTACCAATAGGAACTACTCTCGGTGAACTCGGTGAGCAACAGCTTTACCTGTACCCCACATTGAGGCTCATCCCACACCGGGCCTTGTGAACCTACCTAGTGAACTTCATGGACAAAGTGCCACCTTCCATGTCCCACTTGTACCCCATACCTCTCAACCTCACCCCAACCATTACCGACCCAAGTCCTTGGGCCTCAATTACACTCTCCTTACGAGTAGCCTCGTCTATATCGAGCTCGTACTTTTCTCGATCGCTCGAGGATATTGACACTTACCAAACGTCCCTCCAACTTTACCCCTCCTCCTCCTCCTCATCCACCAACCGCAAAAATGTCCCACCCAAGAATAGAAGAGGTGTCGGACAGCGACTTCGACTCTGACCCTGCAGAGGCCGATATCGATGATTTCGCCGACTCCGATATCATGCGCCGAGTCGAATCTCCCGAGGCCGCTCCTAAAGCAGTTCCCGCTGCTGCAGCTCCTCCTGGTCAGATGCCCGCCATCGTCCCCGCCGACGCCCCTGCGGGCGGTACCATGCCTGCCTCAGCCGATCGATCTGTCTACGCCGATTTCCAATGCCTCTACCCTGTCTATTTCGATGCATCACGATCCCGCGCAGAGGGCCGTCGTGTGGGCGCTGAACTCGCTGTGAAGGACCCCCTCGCGCGAGAGATCGCAAACGCCTGCTCGAGACTACGTCTACCAACACTCTTTGAACCCGAAAAGGTGCATCCGAAGGATTGGGCGAACCCTGGTCGTGTCAAGGTCGGACTGAAGAAGACGCCTGGCCACCCTGTCAAGAACAAGCATCATTTGTATCGTCTTGTTGCTGAGCACCTGCGCGAGAACCCTACGACTGAAGACAGCCCCGGTCTGCGTGTCCGTATTGGAGGCCAGCTACAGCCCGAGGCTGGGAAACCCTATCCCAAGCCCGCTGTGCCGCGCGGATGGAAGATGGGCGAGCTGGTGCCTTATTTAAGTGCTGCTATGACGGGAGGTGGTGTCTCTGAGAATCTGTTTAAGGATATGATGAAGGAGATGCAGGGTGGTGGAGACCCAATGTCGGCTCTTATGGGTGCACAAGCAGGTGGCGGTGAAGAGAGCAGCAGTGGTGGTGGTAAGAAGAAGAAGGATAAGAAGGGTAAGGGCAAAGCATGAGGGGATCTATTATACGGAATGTCGAGGGTGTCATGATCTGGGAAGGATAGAGATACCCAGCGATCAAGCATGATCACATATGAACAAAAAAGATAAAATGATTCAAGATTCAATTCCTAAAAGCCCCTGAATGTCGGGGGTGGTTTGGCAAAGCTTGCTTCTGCTACGTAGATTTGCTATTCGTTCTCTCATACCAACAAAATCCACCAGAATTGATGAAAGACAAAGACGAAATCAAGGGGTATGTAATATTCTATAATCATACAGCCAACCGGCCCTGCAGAGCCTCCCATTCCTGCGATCCCACGATCTGGACACCCCTTCCTGAGCCTGGCACAACCTTTCCATCGGCGCCGGGCAACTTGATACGTAGGCGAGCTGCTGTGGGCGTCTTCTTTCTCCGTTCAGCGTTGGCTGTTTGTCCTTGGAGAACGTGAGCCTTCTTAAGGACCGACTCCTGCCAGGATTCCCAGCTTGCATAGTCCTCCATCTGCTTGGCTGCGTGATACTGTGGCGTTGATCGTACAGGCTTCCAGGCGAGCTTGTCTTGGGGCAGAGAAGAAAAGTCGTAAAGGGAAGCGGAAGACGCCATCTTGACGAGCTCGCCGAGGACATCCTTGCCTTCGGCTGCGATCATGTTACGGCGCTTTTCGGTGACAGAGGTAGGCTTCTTGAGGGGCTCAGCCAGCCATTCGTATTTATGTTGCTCAGATGTACGAGCCCGGCGGTTATCCTCGCGTAGATATCGAACTGCAGACTGCAGACTCTCGATATCTTTCTTGAGGGCATCCATCTCGCGAGCTGTGGCAACGGCTCGTTCTTGACCAGCCTTGGCCCCAGCAGCATCTGCGCCATCAGCGTAAGCACGGCTATCGCTGGCAATCTTCTTCCACTTGTCGCGTTCTGATTCAAGATTCTTAAGCTCACGATCTTGCTTCTCGATGTCTTCCTTGAGGCTACCGATCTGCTGGCCTGAAGCCTCAAGCTCCTCTTGCAATTTGGCAATGCGATCAATGTTAGCTTGGGCATCACGCATTCTGGACTCGAGCGTCTCGATCTTCAGCACAGCAGTGCTGAGATGCTCATCGCGCTGGGCGATGGTACGACGAGCCTCACTATGCTCCTCTTTGAGGCGGCGCAACTCCTCCTCAGCGTCAACGGGGATGGTCTTGAGAGCCTTGAGCTCCTGCGAACGCAGTCGCCAGGGCGCAGGAGTGACATCAAACTCTTGAACCTGATCCAGGTCGGTAGCGAGCGACACCAGATCACTGATTTGGGTGGTGACAGCTCGCAACTTGGACAAATAAGTAGAAAACAGATCCGACTCGCTTGACGTGCTGACAGAAAGGACTGTCTTGTAAACAGCAGTTTGTACTTCTGCATAGGTGAAGGGCTCAGTGCGACCCTCGTCGGCAGTGAACAAGCTGTGGATGCCGAGACCAATATTTCGTGCTAGATCGGCAAGCTCTTGCGTTGCCTCACAACATTGCTCAAACGCTTCGTTAGTGTCTGGAAGTAGAGACAGAGATCGCGTGCGCAAATCCTGGAGGGCCCGGACAGCCTTAGCAGCGATGACCTTTGTGCCTCGAGTATGGGTAACAACTGCCTCGGACTTCTTCGCGAAGTGCTGAGCCAGCTCATCCTCCTCACCCTCAGCGGAAACCACTCGTTGTACAAGACCTCTCAGGGTGGTAAAGGAGACGGCTGCGGAGTCAAGGTGGCTCTGCATGACCATGGCCTTCATGTGAAGATCGTCAGCGTAGTTAGCCAGGCTGTTAGAGATGTGCACCTCTCCCAAGTGAGAAAGGAGGGCAATGGTACGGTGCAACTCGTCGGCGCAGGTCTTCTCCTTCAGGTCGTCGCGGCGAAGACCGTCAATCCAGACGTTCAAGGCTCGCTCAACAGGCTCTAGCTCATGCAGTGCGTTCTGGTACTTGGAGAACTGCTCGATGGTACAGTGGGTCATGTCATTGACGAAGCGATCGCACATAGTAGACACCCAGACCAGTTTATCCGAGGCATCACATCCAGCAAACACATCGTCCTCATGTCCAGGATGAGGCTGTCCGTTGAGTCGTTCGCGGATGAAGCTGTTGAGGAGGTTCGCCTTGAAGGCCACCCGACGGAAGCGAAGTAGAGACAGAACAGAATCCTGGTCCTCCTTGTAGGTGTCAGGGAGGAATAGCTTGACGATCTCCAGGTGTTGCTCCGCTTCCTGGGCGTCCAGTCGTCGAAGTTCGAGGTCGATAGTCTTGACTTGAGCCTTGGATGCTGAGATCTGAAGCTTCATGTTGAGATCCATCATGGCCCTGGATCGATCGTTAAGTTTCTCTGACTCGCCTTCGGTTACAGCTTGCGAGGCCTTCATGTCGTCCAGGTCGCTTTGCAGACTTGTCACCAGCTCCCGGAAGCGCGAGAGGGTATATTCCATATCCTCTAGCGACTCTTCTTGCTGGGCAGCTCGTCGAGCCTGCTCAGCAATGACACTATCCTTGAAGTCGAGTTCTTCTTGCATCTCTTTTTCATTCTGCACGTGATTAATCTCGAGCTCGTCGTTGATCTCCTTCAGGCTCTCAAGATCATCAATGACAGCCTTCAACTCTTCGATTTGCTCAGACATGCTCATGTTGCGTTCCGTCAAGTCTTCAATCATGTCTTCAGCACCAAGTGCATTGTCGAGTTGTTGACGTAGATCTTCCACGGCGCTTTCTGACTGCTCGAGCTTTCCACGGCACTTGGAGAATTCCTCCTTCATAGTGTTGAACTCTTTTACGTCTTCCTCGAGCCCTTTAATCTGACCTTTCAGTTCTTCCTCTGTCTCCTGAGTTAGGTCGCGCAGTCTCATAAGAGCTTCCCTCAATCGTTCGTTCGTCCGTTCCATCTGCAACCAGCCTGAAGTTGCTCGTTCTTCGGGGGCCATTCCCTTGCTGTACTCTTCGTTCTCTTCCCGCAAAATCTCAACTTCCAATTCCATCTCTTCGGCTTTCTCCTTCAGGGCCTCCAGCTCGGCTTTCAGAACATCCGCTGTTTCTTCCGCCATTTCTCGGTCGAGTGTTGCTAGTTCTAATATGCTATCGTGCTCTGCCTGAAGCTCCTCAACGGAATTAAGTCGCATTTCCGCCTCTTTCAGTAACTTCTTCAGCTCAGCATTTTCCTGCTGTTGCGGTTGGTATTTTTGTTGCAGCATTTGGATCACGCTCTCGAACTTGTCTCTCTCGCCCTGGACTTTGTCAAGTTGTTTCAATTTGTCTCGATCTTCGGCTCGTTTGCGTTCTAAAACTTTCAACTTGGCCTTGAGGTCTTCAATCTCTCTACTTGCTGCCGTACTTGCAGCAGGACGGGGTCCAGTGGTAGTTGATGAAGGTTTTCGCGCTGCAGGGGGTGTGGTTGTTCGCGATGACGGTCCACCTGTAAGT